GGGGATTGATGGAAACAGAAGAAGACATGGAAAAATGGAGTGAGGAACAAGGAAGAAAGACATGCCGGGAGAAGCGAAATCTTCCATGAGCAGAAGCAGAGTATTTAGAGGGCGTTTCACGTTAATGGTGGACAGGCCAATTGAAATGGCTCTAGTGTTGCATGATTTGAAGGTCAGGAGACAGCAGATTATATTCCAGTGGTAGCAGAGGAGGATTGCAGGAGTAAAATGGTGGCTGCCCACCACCCCGCCCTCTCCTCCACTCCTGAGTTATTGCACAGTAGTCAAGATGGAATCAACAAAGCTCCAAACTCCTTTACCGTTACTCTTACCACCAGCACAAGATGAAAAACGAACTGTGCCTGTAGATTATCAGGAGCAATTCCTTTCAAAACTTCTGTTGGTGAAACGTTAAAAAACACCACCTGCCTCATTTAACACATTTTTAAATACATTACCTATCTACCTATCTTATTATCTTGTCAAAATGGATAATAAAAAATGCAGCAGAAAGTGTCAAGAGTAAAGTGAGAAAATCTGTCACACTTGAAGAAAACAACTTTTGTTACTACTGCTTCAACTACTAGTGCGAATGATAATGATGACCATCATCATGATCAGGAATACACTTAGCCAGTTTTACAAATATACTATCTTGATTTTCATGGAAAATAAAGGTGCAAAAATGCAAGACAATGTAAGATAGGAATCGAGAATATTTTTACTCAGTCTAAAACGTCACAAAGTCCTTATCAGACTTTTCACACTGTATTTCCGACATTCTGTCCTCAGGCCAAATCCAACATGGCGTTTAGGGACATTTTAGTTAGACTCGAAAATCTGCCTCACAATCACTTGCTTGAAGTTTGCATTTAATCACTGCACCGCCTTCCCTGAATATATTTCATAAAGAGAGCAGATGCCAATAATTGAGAAAAAAACTTACTTACTGAACGAGAGTACTTGTAATATTGCAAATTGTGTTAAAAAAAAAAACTTATGAAAATGTTTGTTTTTTAGCTGTGTTGCACACTTTGTCTCACAAAGTACAGGTAAAATCATAAGCATTTTTAAAGAAATTATTTTTTGATTAAAATATGAAGGAAGAAAGAAAAACAAATATTAATTCTGCCTTTCCAAGTAGGACTGATATAACAGCCAAATATTAGCATGATGTTCTTTTAATATTGAGGCTCAGAGAAGTGAGAGGACATGAAAGAGTGCATTGAACTGTACAAACAAAAAGCCAAACATTAAAACATTGTAGCCTTTCAAACAAGTATGGCTTGAAGTCACATACGACCGGGTGGTGTTTTAATTTGTGGGATTCTTTATGCAGATAACTAATATGAAATTTTACAATTAAAAAATAATGTCATAGCTTCACCTCAAACATAACGCCGGACACCTAGTATGTCAGAATAAATTACAGCAGGCTTTACGTCCAGGCTACACATCTTTATTTTTTTATGCATTTCAAAATCAGCACCGAAAATTGACTTTCATAAGATTGTGGTTCATCTTTTTGTTTTGATGACTTCTTAAAAAAAACAGCTGATTTTGCAGAAAGCTTATTAGAAACATACATAAATTATTTTATTAAAACAAACTATTTTAAAGTGAATAAAACTTAAAATCCTTAAAGTTAATAGGTAAACAATTGTGTGGGAAAGGGACTGAAACTAACTCTTTCCCACAGACCCACATCGTCCACTGCTAATGGAAATCAAATAAATGCAAACTGATATTATATTATTTAGCTGTTGACACATGTTAAAGTAACTCTATAAAACACCATCCTGTCATAAAATTGAAAACTACATTTTATAAAAATTGTGCACTGCTTTGTTTGATAACAGAAAAAAATAATAATTGTTTTGGGGGTCGGAATATAATTAAAAAGCTTCTATAGGGGAAAAAGTCTTAGTAGGGGACATGTCCACAGCAAGTGGTGGTGCTTCATAGTGTACTGTGCTTGTAAAACTTCAAAGAAGATAACAGGCAACCAGGGTAGGCCAGTCAATCCAATGCATGTCTGAATGGATGACCATGCTAAGCTCTTAAAGCAGGCATTAATCCAGGATTTCAGAAGTAAAGCTAAGTTTGGCACCTTATCATGACAAGGCCCAGACCTTAGGCTGAGCTCAATCACTATGCAGAAGCACAGGCAGCCTGAATCACAAAGGCATCATCCACTGCATCTGGACTGTAATGATTGGTTGGTTAATAATGTACATCATACTCTGTCTTTGTGGAACTTTTTAGTGTTTTAAGTTCCTCTGAGTTCATGTACATTTCCAGTGAAGATTAATTTAAATTTCAATTAGCTATTTATTTTCTGCCAGCTCCTCACTCCCTCAGATGTACTTTGCTCAACAAGACAACCAGATGTTTCATTTTTAATGTGTGCTGGATTCTGTTAACACGAGGCACGCTCAGAGTTTTGTCTCTGACTGAGCCCGAGTGACCTCCTTGGCCGATTTCGATGCCAGCACAAACATAATTTCTCCAGATATATAAAAGGCCAGGGCAGAACTGACACACAACCAAGCGATCTCTGCTCTGCTCAACTCCATAACCACACAGGCCACCTCGGATCAGCAACGAAGACGAAAATATCAAGAGCTGATGGCTCCTGACCATGCATGTGCAAAACTGCCATGTTTAAGCAAATCAAACAAAACACCCATCCACCAAAAACAACAGCAGTGAGCGCAATGCCACGTGACTCCATGTGCATGTACACACTTGAAGAAAAACATGCACATGCCAATCTTAAGATGCAGCCATAGGGCTTGGACTAAGGCTTAGAGGTAGAGCACAAGCTTAGAGAAGTGTGTGCGCTTGCTGGAAGAGTGGGGTTATTAGGGGCATTGGACTGACTTATAAATGCTCCCGCACAAAAGACCTGATTTATCATCCAACATCAGAAAAGAATACCAGAGAGGCTGTGCAGAAAAGAAAGGAAATGAAATGACAGTGGTATTAAAAATAAAGGAAGGGGGGGTCAAACTAGCACTGCTGTGGGCAGCTGCTTTGCTCATAATTTCCACAAACAAACAAGCACAGTATGTGAAAGAATACTCACTGCATATCAGTTTTAATTAATGTATCTGCATTTATTCTGCTGGATGCATGGCTAACACACATGTCAAAAATAGTTTTAAAGAAACGCCTGCCACTTCCTGTGTGTAATTTATAAGGGAGTTTAGAATTTGGGTCACCACTGTGTGACAGATTTTATTTTTATTTACAGCATTATAGTGCTGCAAAAAAGAGAAACGCTGACATCTATTAAACATGACTGATTTTTAATACAATCTGCTGTAATTGAAGTGAAAGTAAGTGAAGTGAAGTGGTGGGTAAGTCTAGTCTTTTGAATAGGGATTTGTAGGAAATATATACGTAGTTTAATTTCAATATTTCAAACAAGAAATTTAAGATCTACATTTATTTTAATCTGAATGAAAAATAAGTAAAATCTAATAAATCTTGCAATGTGACATTTGAAATGTTAGTTCTTAAAATATAAAAGTACAAAAAATTGAAAATAAATTAAACTTAAATTTATTCTGCAGGGTGTTGGTGATTAGAGATTTGACTAAACCATATTGTAAAGAAACATCGTCTTTGTTGCCACATACTGCTGAGATGAAATAAACATAGATGAAATAAACATTGTTAGCACCCAGCACACAACATACCCAAGAAGATATGAGTGAGGTCAGATTTTTAAGAGGACATATATAATTCCACATACATCACATCTCTACTTCAGAAATTTACAACAGAAAAAATCCAACACCTATTAAGACTGGAGGAGTGGCTGTGCATGGTATGTATGCGCGTGTGTGTGTGTGTGTGCGTGCGGGTGCGTGTGTGTGTGTATGTGTCAGTGAATGTAAGCGAGAGAGCCAGTGAGTTAGGGAGCAAGAGACTCCAAATAATTTCAGCCCTGGAATAAATCACTGTCGCCACAGAAAAAGGCCGACAGTTGTGATGGATGGCTGAAATTTTTGTGTTGATGTCTTTAGTATTGCTGACAATTTGGTAGTCCGGGTTTTTTCACTTTTCCTGTGGCTGTGTGTGTGGTTGAACACATCTGTACGTTGACATTTTTTTTTTTCCTTCCTGCTTAAAAATATGCTTTTTGGAAAAAAAAAAGTCAATGCATTGCTATCAATACAATGTTAATTAGAATTGTATCTCCATGACAAAATGTTTAATATGTCAGGAGTGTGATGATAAAACATTTAAAATTAACTGTTAAAGAAAAAAACTTTCTGAATTATATTGTGAACAAAATTTTCCGTACAGTAGCTGTGGACACCATCTTGTGTGTGCGCCACGGTCACGTGGTCTTTCTGTATATGTGCACGCAGGCTGTGATTGGCTCACGCGTCACCGCATGACATACTGACTGTTCGCTGTGTTTCGAGCTTTACTCCGTCTGTCTGTCACTGGCATCTTTTCTTTACGTCATACACACAAACTGGAGATGAAAAGTCCTCTTTTTCCGCCCCATCATGACCCATTTGTTTCTGTGGAGTATTGTCTCATTCACCCCTCGACTTTACAATTTCTGCACTTCCACATGTATATGCACACCTACCTTAGCTGTTAGCATAAATTCAGAACATTTCAAAAAAGAAAGCACAGTACACAGAATGCAGGTGCACACTCTGTACAGTAAAACTAAATCTAGACACATGCAGAGTTATGCAAACAAAAAATATACTCTTACATATACACATACTAAATAAAAGGTTAGGCCACTCTATACTCGTCCCCCCACCTCCTCTCTATCTGTTCTCACCTGGCAGGATCAAATAACCACACTTCCCACAAACTTACAATCAATACTTTCTCCAGCAAATCAGAACAGTCACAGGCTCAGTCCCAGCTCCACACTAACTCCACTGAAAGTAGGAAAGACTTAAAGGAAGCGTCCACAGAGCAGAAATAACTAAATAAAATCAATTAAAATAAAAAATACTGACCTTTCTGTTTTTTCCCTTTTATCTCTGATGTCCAATCCCCTCTTTATCTTCTGCTGGTTCTTGTCCTCTCTCTCTCTCTCTCTCTATCCCTCTCTCTCTACCCCTCTAGTCTGAGTAAGTCATGCGGGAGCTTCTTCCTGCTCCTGCTCAGTCCTACGCCACTGTATTAGTCTGATTTCACACTCTGCAGCCTTGCCTCCCGTCCTGAAGGGGACGGTGAATGTGCTGCTTATTTAGAAGCCGGCACACACTACCTGGGCTTGTAGGCAACTGTTTAAAGCACGAGGCAACATCCAGGGTGCATAATACCCACCACCTCCTCCACCACACACACACTCAGATGCATCTTCTCTCTCCCTCTTGCTCAAACACACACACACACACTCACATACTTGCTGGCTGCCTGACAAGATAGGCAACACACACTGGAGCAAGGTGAAACACACATACACACACATACACACGCACACACATGCAGGCAGTCTGTCAAAGGTCTCTCTACCTTGGCTGGGATAGCAGGCAGTGTGAGAGCACACACACAGGCACACTGAGATGGGCTGGCCGCTCCGTTCTGTCTCCTTCTCTCTAAGTGTTTAGAAGACAATTTCAACAAGGGATTGCTCCCAATCTACTAGGGTGATCCACATGGATGAGTTATAATATGCTTGCCACTCTCTCCCTCTCTCTTACCCCCCCTTCACCTCTTCTTTCCCGGTTCCCTCTCTCTCATCATTCTCTCCCTCTCTGACTCTTTCACTCTCGTGCTCGTTGTTTTAGCCTATTATCGAGCCGTCAACGATTTCAGTTCAGGAGGAAAGCTTTCCCTTCTTGGATTCTATATTTTTCCTCTTTGCGGATGTGCGCGAGATGGGCCGAAGACCGACTCCACCTGAATGCATATTAGTAGAATGCATTATTTATTAAAAACCTGCATTCATTTTTTCCCCCCTCCCTGATATGCCTGTGGACACGCAGGGGGAAGGGAGCAGCAGTGACGACTACACAAGGGTTGTATTTGTGATATGTGTACTTAGGGGAGATGGGCAGCAGAGGGTAGGGATGAGGGGGTCAGGATTCGGCAGAGGAGGGTCGTGCAGGGAGGTGAAAAGAATACAGAAGAAATTATTTTAATTTATTTATTTATTCAGTGCTTGGAATTGCCTTATCATCCAAGGTGCTGCCTAATGACATCACTGCTGGCTCCAAGCAATCCCAAATCACGCTGCCATATTTTGTGCAAAATGAATCCACACACAAAAAAAACAACAAAAAAACAGAACAGAATCCACAAAATTGTACATTTAGGCCTCCTGCAATTGAATAAAAACACGAGTTTATGATGCATCTGTGTGTATGGAAGAGAACAACTAAAAACACTAAAAAGATAAAATGCCAATCTGTGTTTTTAACATCTACTTCCTTTTGTTATTGATTTATATTTAGTGATTTAGAAAACAAAAATGACTAAAAATATTCCTAAAATAATGGTGTTTATTTAACCTACTGTTTACAACAAAATATGAATGTATTATTAGCATAATCTCTAGAAGTAGACAGTGAAAAAGGGAGCTCACACAGGTTTAAAGTGCCTGCGTAAGCTCAACTTGCCCCGCTGGTCAACAGACTGCTGCAGTGTGGCCCCGTGGGATTAAACGTCCAGGCAGAAGTCATGACTGCAGAGTGGACCCTCAAGACTCTGTCAGCACCATCAGCACTGCCCCTTTTCTGCAGCGGGAGCAACAGACTAACACAACGGCAACACAACTATCCGGAAAAATAACTGATATTAAGTGAGTCGTGACACCAATGCAAGAGTTAAAATCCCTAACGCTGAAACAAAAGCAGATTTACTGAGTGAACGTAACTTATTTGCAAATATTACACACTAATGGCCATACAGGTGACACAACCTGGGCTGCATTTAGCCGCGCTGATGTCTGGGCTGAACCAGTCACCAAATTCTCAACCACAGGATGCATATCTACTTCACATGCAAAGAGAAATAATATGACCCCATGACAGGCTGAACCATTATATCACTGACATTAGAGCTTAAGTAGAGCTGGAAAATTACTCCAGTGGTATCACCAGCACATCTCAATCATTTTAACACCATCATAATCATAAAAACTTCCTTCTGTTATTTTTTTAAAGCCCCAGTAAGAAATAAGAAATTTCATTTTCACCAGTTAACAATCTTAAATTAAGAGAGACAAAGTTAGGGGAGTGAAAAGAGCACAACCCAAGTTATAAGTCAACGTGAGAAAGAGTGAGCTTTAATGCTTCACCTCCTGCGTCCATTCTGCTGCACACCTCTGTCTGTCTGCATCATGTACCAAGTCAGAAAATGAGTGTTATATACACAGCATCCATGTTAATGAATGGCTTGGTGAAAGTAAGTAACACTATCATGTGTTCTCCTTGACCTCATGGTCTCCATCGGGCCACCGAGACAACAACCTGCACTCCGGTGACCCGCTCTCCCCCTCTGCGCACATCATATTCCAGACACGCAACCGTGAAACATCACTAAACACTCAAAGAGTTAATGTTTCCTTCCTTTTCTCTCCTGTTTTTCTACTTTCAATTTTCCCGAATAACATTATTATGTTTTATTAATATCTTTGAATTATTACTCGTTTTCCTCTTAAAATGGAGTGCCTTAATTCACATTTGAAGTACTCATCAAGGCTGAGCACCGCGATGAATGTGGAAAGATACATTATGATTGCAAAAATGCAGAGTGAATTAAAAATATATAACAATACTGAAATATTAAGTATTAATTTCAAAAAGATAATTTGGCAGGGCAGGGAAAAGAGCCTTTTCATTACTTCTATAACTTTCTTTTTTTTAGTGTACTTCTCTATGAATGAGTAATGTGTAATTACCTTGTACCTGTGAATCAAATAGAATATGAAAAAATTAGCTTGGAGTGTCAAAAAGCCCTGTGTGTGTTTACTTTCATTAAAAAGGAGCATAAAATGGACACAGATGCTGGATAAAGAGCTGAATCAAGGCAGAATCCCTGTTGATTGAACAGCACATTATCAGGTGAGGTTCACTCACACAAAAAACAGACTGAATCTGTCCTTACAAAACAGTTTCTACAACCGTTCGTCCCTCATGTTCAACTCCTCATGATTTCTTTTTTTATTTTTTATTTTTTTACAATGTTGAACTCTAATTCCCATGATCATCCTTGAAAGCATGACCTTGTGCTGTGTGACAGGAGATAGCCGCAGCATGAAGACAGGACGCCACTTATCATCAAGGGACGAGGTGGCTGTTTAATTTCACACCACCAGTGGCTAAAACCCCTGTTAGTGTGGAGTGCCACAATGGCAGCCACGCTTGGGGAGCAGATGTCCTCATGAAGGGGTGCAAAGAGGGAGGAGGTTGTGTTGGGAGGTGGGGGGGTTAGGGGGGTGAGGGTCTTGGTGTTTTGTGTGTCTGTGGGTGTGTGCACAGTCTGACACCGTGCACATGCCGAGTAAAACAGCGCCCCCGTCTTTCACAGACGCAAAAACAGCACCAGAAACCGTACACGTGTTAGCATGCCGTTCGGTCACGCTTACAGGCTCTGACGAAGGTTACAGAAATTTGGTCCACACAGCAGGCCGGAAAGAAGATGGGTATGAGTGACGGCACAGATGGGATGATGTTGGAGGCGAGCACGCTCAGCAACACACACGCCAAAACGAAACGATTTCCGTCGTCGACTGTCGCTACAGTTATGAACTTCAGCTGCGGTCAGACAGAAGTCTGTCTGTTTAATCTGAGCGCCCCCAACCTCATTCCCCCCACACAGCCCCCCCCCCCCCACTCAAATCTGACACAGACAGACACACTTCACATGATTAACAGACGTCTGATATGACTGTGGGCCTGAACAGTGACCAGCGAAACCCAAGACTGCTGAATGTAAAATGCAGTACGCAAGAAAATGGCGTCCCTCTCAAACATGGCTGCTCACTGATGGCCACACTGAAGCTGGGGGAGAAAAAAAGGTCACCTCTCTCATCTTTTAATACACGCCCCTCCCTCTCCCAAAGCATATCTCTATTGCAGCCTTGTTTTCTCCTATCCAACACTCCCCACCACCCCCAAACACCTTGTGTTCCCCCATTTCCCCCCCAACCCCCCATCAGTCTCCTTGCCCCACTCTGCTTGTGGTTGTCGACTTATTATTTTAGGCACAGAGAAAGACACAGTTACAGATGCATCAGAATAATAAAAAAAAATTTCAAAAGTACAATCAAGCTCCTAAAAACAACTGTACTTCATGAAAAGAATTGGAAAAAGGGACATACAACATTCCACCGTTTTCTCTTTTTATGCAACTCAGCGGGGAAAGCCGTAACTCCTGCTTCCATTCCTCCCCAGCATGATTTCAAATGTCCTACAAGCTCTGCCGTCCAATCAGATACATTTATTTTTTCACTGTTTCCACATTTTTCTGCTTCTCCCCTTGTGTCATCTTACTCCATTTTCTCCATCAGTTGATTAAGCACAGAATGCTCGAAAATGAACTTTGACAGCTTGATTTCTATTTTCCTCATATCAGAACATAAAGTTAAAGATTATAAATGTTTATTCAGCAGAAGGAGAAATTTTCTTGTGGCTCTCGAGGGTGAGAGCCCACTCTAAATCGGTAAATCACCCCGATCTGGAAGATGAACGGCCTGTTTTGGAGTTCATTGCGTTTCGTTTCGGGCGAGTGGTTGGTGTAGCGGTGGCCCCAGCAGGCCGGGGTGGAGGTGGCTGCTGATGTGAATAGTTACAGGGGGATAATGAAGTGGCAAGCAACCTGAGGTTTGGCTATGTTTCGTTCACCACCTCCACCAGCTGTGAAAGGGCCACTGGCGAATATGGTTGCTAGCCTGTCATAATCCTGAGCCATTACATGCTGCTTGAAAAGTGTGGAAATGCATGAAAATTATCGCTACTTAATGTTCTGTGTAACTTATGTCTTCTCATTTGTCTGTTAGCAGCCAATAGCCTGTTTCAACTCCATACTATGCTTTCAAAAAAAAAAAGAAAAAAACCTTTCAAGAGTACCTTAACCATGCATTACCTATCTTTAATCTTGCTTCTCTTTCTGACTGACATCTTGCCAATCTAAGCCTATCTGGTGCACAACAGGTATAAATTACTCTAACAACCTGGCCACCACATTCAGCAACATACAAACAATTTTGTTCAAAGCACACTGCACCATTTAGACCAAAGAAGGACACCAGCGCCTGTTTCAGTCCAAATATGGGCATATCTTATGACCATGAGGTTCAAACAGTCCCTGATGTAAAATATCAAAATGTTTTTTTCATGAGCAGATATTTTTTTTATTTTATTTTTTGCATGTTTCTCGAAATAGATCACACTACCTCAGAACCTAACAAGGC